ACAAGACCGGAACTAATGCTCTTTGCTATACAGGCATGCTGGCTCTGAAGTAGTTCGCGAGGAAATCTGTGCGTCGTCATGGCAACACCTTCGGATTTTTGTCGCTTAACTGAATATTACATGTGAATCTTGGCAGACAAATCAGACGAAGTATTGAACTGTTTCCCTTTGCCATTCCTGATATCTCAAACGTTTAGATTTTTCGTTTCCAATTTAAGGCTAAACAAAATATCACTTTTTCAAATACCGGTAGGGTTCACTGCTGAAACATAACTTATAAACGGTTCAATTATTTTCTTTGTAATTACTTTGTATATATACACAAATATGCACATTGAACAACTGAACTGGAGCCTGTTTGAACTAGGCTGTAGTTTAATCACGAGTAGGTTTTCTTACGAGAGCATAACTCTGAAATGTTTCCGAATTGCTTACGGAGAATTTCAGAAATATCAAGTCTATGTTATAACGTCCAATATGTTTCGTTTTTAGCTCCCCAAACATTATCAACATCATAATGATACTGGTGCCCATACACGGCGCGTTTTTGATGATCTGCACAACCATTTTCTTGTCACAGGTCGTGGCGCTGAACACTGAAGTGTCTATAGAGTTATCTGCCCTTGTCGTCTAAACGCCACGAAGGTAGGATTTTACGTTCCCATCTTCCAATATGAAGATTACACGCATCAACACGTACCGTTCTGAAAAACAAGCTTTCCGCTACATTGTGAACAAAAAACAACTTTGTCAAACTGTATTTTATTTCCATAACAATGCTTGCATATATTGTATATTCTTTAAAAAATAAATATAATCATAAAAAACATCATTTTTACAAACAGTATCTCTATACATCTGAATTAGATTCACAAATAAACATAACAAAATTGTCCACATATACAAAGAAATTTACTGTTTGACTTGACTTAAGTATTCAAGGTTCCATAATTCACTGACCACTTGTGAAATTACTTTCAAACAAAACTCACATATATATATATATATCAGACTGGATGAATTTTCCTTCTCTAAATGCCTATCCGATTCCAGTATCTTATTTACAAATCAAATGAATGTTTTCCTGATCACAGAAACACAGAAATGCAAACAAAAAACTGTGGTTATAATAGCTGTGTCATTACAGATCTAGCATCTACACATACTGATGACAATTAAGACAACATACGCGGAAGTATCATTCATTGGTCATTGGTTGACGTTGGTCTTGTTCATATGCAGTTCCTGCAGGTGCGTGCTTTCTTCTGCTATATTTCTGTTTTCCCAGAATATTAGTAAAAATTAAATGATTCTTTCCTATCCTTCAAAAATGCTAATATTTCCCTTTGAATTCTTTAAACCAAAGGCATCAAGTCTCTGATTACTTAGCAGTTCATATATATATATATATATATATATATATATATATATATACCCCAGTACCACTTTAACACACAATATGGATAATATTTCAAAACTTCACATCACAAACTATACTGATAATTTAGTGTATAACATCAGGCAATAATAGAAGAATGCTTCTGATCAAATTTCACACTAGCCACAACTCTAAACACCATCTGGATACATTGAGTAACAAGAAACACTTCTGTATTGACTGAGCAAGACAGTGCCAGAGACAATGTCCTCCATTTCTTCACTACATATATACAGCAAAACCTTATTAATCCAGACCCTGCTACTATGTAAACCATGACTTCCAGGCTGTTGGAATATAGAAAAATAAATTGACATTTGTTTTGGAAATTTGAAATTTGATAATCTGGACGATTTTACTTGGAAAGGTACTGTCTGGAAAACAGAGTTTCATTGTAACATGTAGACTGACAATGAATGCTTGTATACTTGGCATTACGGTATTGAAGCTCTCCACACTATCTGAAAAGGGAGTTGATACTTATCTGAAAAGGGAGTTGGTACTTATCCCTCTTTCTAAGGTATCTACCAGAACAAAAAATTCCTACAGTGTATTCTTAAAGAGGCTTGAACATACGTCCATGAGGTGAGATCTTTTTGAAAAATTGGTTTTGTAATCTGACGACCCTATAAAATTCATAATTGGATTTTTTAAATTTATTTGACAATTTGTATTTTTCTAAAATCTTTCAACCTGAAAAAGTATAAATACATTATGTAAAGTCGCAAGACCAACAGGACCAGCCTAACCCCCACTGTAAACACGGAAAACTACACGACTCAAATGTCCCGTCTGTTTTCTCTAACTACAACCAAGATTCGTCACCAATAAACCAAGAAATAGGAGAAGTCTTGCCTGACTTCTAGGATCTAAACAGGAAGGGACATCACATCTGAAAGCCCTGGACACCTGTTGCCCGCCCTCTACTGGGCCTGGACTGAAGGAAGGCAATCCTCTTGAGCTATGTGATACAGTCTGGATGGCAGCACAGAACATGTCCATTAACATCAAATGTTGAAAGTAGTATTGGATACATTCCACAATTGCAAGTCAATAGGTTAATGGCAAATTTATTTTCCATACATTCTTTAAAATAGTAGGTATATGACTTGTTTTGTGGCAAACATGATTTGGTTTTACAGATGGCAATATTTTCCCAATTGTTTTTCAATTCATTTTATCAAAAGATTCATAAAATGCAAGTATGTTATAAAAATATTATTTTGATGATGTAAAATTGATGATCAGGAAAAGGTTTAAACCCTTTGAGTGTCTTGTGTGAGCATCTGCAAACAATAATGAAATATGGCATCCTTTCATTCAGTACTTGTTTTTCTTTCTGTGAAGCGTGTTTTAAAACTATGTAAATTTTTTTAAAATTCATCCAGATTTTAATATACAAGTAAACGGAAATTGACTAAATTGGCACCCCTTCCCCATTAAGGGTCCCCATCTCCTAGAGCGAGTGAGTGAGTATGGTTTTACGCCACTTTTAGCAATATTCCAGCAATATCACGGCGGGGGGACACCAGAAATGCGTTTCACACATTGTACCCATGTCGGGAATCGAACATGGGTCTTTGGCGTGACGAGCGAACACTTTAACCACTAGGCTACCCGACCGCCCCCCCCCCCAACTCCTAGAGGATACCTGAGACACACTTGAATGCTCTCAATGCTACTGTCGAACCCAGTCGACAGGCGCTTTGTTAAAGGTCACCCCCAAATGAATGGCCCCTGCTTTGTTAAATGTCCAGGTACTGATTATGGCAGAGGGGTCACAATATAACACACAGCACTGAACAAGCATAACAACATTGATGAGCATCAGCACGAGACACACTACAAACAACACTAATTATTATACACGAAGATACAGTTCATCACAGCATCAGGGTTAACCATGACACTAAAGGTATTTTCAATGGTCCATTCTACCATATCTCTTTTCAATGTGACTAAAAGGCCAACATTTTCTTTTCACTTGGATACAGTTTTAACTTGAGCTTCAGCAGTTTGAGAACAAAAAAAATAAAACGTCACCTAACAGCAGCACTCTGAGATTTACTGGACAAGATATAGAGTGACCAAACTTAAGTAATATTCATTAGAATACAGACATGTTGTCCCTTTCTCGAATCTTACTTCCATGGCAGCAGTTTCAAGACAAACTTACATGGCAATGTCTGCCCTGAGTCTAAAAGTATATGTAAATATGATCAGCAGCAAAATTTAAAAAAACAATTTTTTCTCATCTCTCTTTTTAAAAAACATGCAAGCAGGTTGATCTGTGATCCAAGTAACATGAATAAGTTGGCCTATTAAAGATGAAAATGTTCCAAATTTGAGATTTTTTAACATACACTACTACTGGCTATCAGAAAGTAAAAGCATTTCAATATACAACTAAACAATGATAACTCTAAGTGTACTATTGCCAGGTTATTGTAAAACTACTTTGCATCAATCAAACATCTCCTGAAACAACACTGACACTTTGGTGCTGCCACTACAACTGGCAGTGGACAACGGTTGTTGTCGGACTTTCCCTAGCAAATCTGCTTTGTGGTCAAGTCGTCATAGTACACGTTGTCATGACAACTTAGTGATCAGCACCAAAATATTGTATTTCATGAGTTCATTTATAGATATATGTTAAACTAAATCTACACCAAAAATTAAATGGACACAAGTTAGGCTATTAATCTAAACCTGCACCAAACAAGAAATAAAATAAAATTGTTTTTCAAGGTTTTACTCTAAATCTACATGCACTTCTAGCAAAACAAGGGTTACTCATTTCTCTCAGAAATCCTTACTCTCAGAAATCCTTACTCTCAGAAATCCTTACTCTCAGACAGGCACATCATGAACAAGATGAAAGAACGGGGATATTATGCAATCATTCCAGATTTAAACACACTCCCGACATTCACTGTAGGTTTGATTTGTATTTTCTTTTTCTCATAATTGTTTGGGTAATTCATTAAAAGATATCTGCCCATAGAAAAGGTAAGAAATTTTTAATGATATGTGCAAACGGACAGAGGTCTTGAAAGTCAATCTGTTTGATATGAATCTTATGTACGATAAGTATTGTCATACCGGTACTCCTTTTGATTATCTTCTGCAGGAACAAACACTGATAAATCATGGCTGTCCCTAAATATTGTTATGTGTGAGTTGTTTTTGTCTAAATATATTTGTAGTAATTGTAAATGGCAGCAAAATGTTGACATACAAGTAAATAACTATGAAATGCTGCTATAGCCGGATTGAACTGCAATCAACAGCAGCGAGAGGTGCTTTTCAGAATGATTTTGTATTATTATTTGAATCATTGATCCTTGTATACAATACCATAACAGGCTTGATCATTTCGAGAGGTTTCAGGATGGGGCAGTTTCTACACAGTTGCTAAGTGCAGTTTGGATACTTATCTGGAAATACTAAATATCTGCCAGCTTCCAACATGGAGACAAAACTCTTTCAAGACAATCAACAGTGAAAATATTCTGGACATTCACGAGTGCCGTCAGGCGACATTTTTTTTATTTCTTGGTTTACGGATGCATACAAATTACCGTACTCCTTTTCTTATTACCGTCGAAAAAAATTACTTTAAAAAATGCATAAAAAGTTCAAACAACAAACAAAACGTGTGTAAAGCAAAGGGAAGTCACTCAGATATTTCTCACTGGGATCCTTCTCTAAAACCATCAAAGCGTGTCAACGCAAAACGCAGTGTTGACCAGTTTAATCGTGGCCCATGCCGCCAAAATGTCGAGGTCTTTCATGCATTTCACCATGACATAAATATTGTTATATTGCCATTTGTGCACATGCTGTGTGCCAGGGATATAATTACATGTTCTTGAAAAATTGAGTTGTTTTGTTTTTGTTACTCAAATATATATTTTTTTTGTACCTAACTTTTTAGAACAAAAGTCAAGCAAAAATAAATCCGAGTTTTTTTGTTGGTTTTTGTTTTTAATTTGCCTACCTCACTTTTGAAATGAGTTTGAAATCCATAAACCAAGAAATATAAGAAATGTTGCCTTACATTAATTCAAGGGTCTGTTTCTTATTGATGCTGCCTCTTATTTGACCCACTGTATTGCCATTTTATTGTAAACCTGAAACTGTGTTTAAATATTTATTGATTTTTCATTGATCTTGACTGATTTCATAAGATCTAAATACAGTTTTACCAATTTGGGATCTTATTAAAAGTTAACATCCCATTCCATAAATAAACCTATACCATTAACCTGTCAATACTGTCATCTGAGATTCACATTATTGCTGTGATATGTTGTTAGGAGAGCAGGATGTGGAAGCTTTATGCTGCAGACACTGCTGCTTTCTGTATGCCTTCTTTTAGAAACTTGACATAGTTGTAGCTTGACGGTTCAGAAAATCTGCAAGAACAAATACAAGTACAGAGATACAAAATGGAATGAATGACAGACAGTGATTGACACATTAGAGCATCATTATAATATACTTCAGATTGAGTTTTCTGAAGTTGAGAAGAGTGATATTTTCATTGCAGTGAACATAACACTTGATATTTCACTGCAGTGAACATAACACTTTGACGGATCTATTGTCTTCCAAGAGTTACCTCCCTGTAAAATATCTCCCCTCTATCGTAAGTGTCTAACTGGTACACCAACAGTTTGTTTCCTATTTACATTAGTTAGACATTGACAAGGCAAAATAATGAGCAATGATCATTTATTGAGTTAATATCGCTCCTTGTCGTACGTTATTCTATGAAAAATGTTCTGTTACAAACTGTAAATTTCTCATTTAACTTGTCAATTGAGACTGTTTGTTTTGCAAAGCGCCATTTTTTTTACTTGACCAGCATGTATTCTTTTGCTTCCACAACGGTCTTGTAGATTTCAAGAAAATCCTTAGTTGAAGTTGAGTTTGTATATAATCATATCCAAATGTAAAATAAATAGGATACTCCATTAACTCATGGAATATCACGTTTCTCTCATCTCGTGACGGGGAAAGGAGATATTTTCAACTGTGGCTACTTGATGAGAGAAACATGATACTTCGCTCGACACATGGTACATCCTCTATACATATGTGTTTCACATAGTCCTCATATGGAAAAATGGTGCTGTAGCACTGTAGCTAACCTGGTATATTCAGTGATACATCAACGCTTACTTGTTCACTGTAGTGAGACCAAAGTTATGTTCAGTAATATTTCATCCAGTGAGATAAGCATGGATGTCTTGACAGATAATGTTTTAAAAAATAAATGGATGGTTCATGTCCTTACCCTGTCTCAAGAATGGAAGTGTCCACATTAGGCAGTACACTACAGCCTACTTACCCTGTCTCAAGAATGGAAGTGTCCACATGGGTCGGTACACTACAACCTACTTACCCTGTCTCAAGAATAAAAGTGTCCACATGGGTCAGTACACTACATCCTACTTACCCTGACTCAAGAATGGAAGTGTCCACATGGGTCAGTACACTACAACCTACTTACCCTGTCTCAAGAATAGAAGTGTCCACATGGGTCAGTACACTACAACCTACTTACCCTGACTCAAGAATGGAAGTGTCCACATGAGGCAGTACACAATACCTACTTACCCTGTCTCAAGAATGGAAGTGTCCACATGAGGCAGTACACTACACCCTACTTACCCTGTCTCAAGAATGGAAGTGTCCACGCGGGTCAGTACACTACAACCTACTTACCCTGACTCAAGAAGGGAAGTGTTCACATGGGCCAGTACACTACACCCTACTTACCCTGTCTCAAGAATGGAAGTGTCCACATGAGGCAGTACACTACAACCTACTTACCCTGTCTCAAGAATGGAAGTGTCCACATGGGTCAGTACACTACAACCTACTTACCCTGTCTCAAGAATGGAAGTGTCCACATGAGTCAGTACACTTCACCCTACTTACCCTGACTCAAGAAGGGAAGTGTCCACATGGGTCAGTACACTACAACCTACTTACCCTGTCTCAAGAATGGAAGTGTTCACATGGGCCAGTACACTACACCCTACTTACCCTGTCTCAAGAATGGAAGTGTCCACATGAGGCAGTACACTACAACCTACTTACCCTGTCTCAAGAATGGAAGTGTCCACATGGGTCAGTACACTACAACCTACTTACCCTGACTCAAGAATGGAGGTGTCCATGTCAAGGAAATCATTGGCATTCATCTTGTTGATGATGGTGCCATTCGGCAGTACCACCATCATCATAACAGGGAAGTTGTAGTTAGTGAGAAACTCCTCTGCCTTCTTTGCAACCTCAGGCTCACTGGAGTCCTTCTTCAGCTCCTGCAAGGGAGGTAACTCAAGCTTCAATCTCTCAAAGATCCTGTTTGAAAGTCATTATATTGCTTCCATTAAATACGCAGTTTTGATAATCCGTTTTGGGCTAGTTCATTCCAACAACAATTTGTGTGCTGGTAACTTCAAGATGAACAAAGCTGTGTAGCCCAGTGTCAATTTGCGATCAGAGTTCAACATTGTAAGTGTGACTTGTGTCAAATTGTATATTGAGCCACCCTCACCCGCTACTAGGGACTACAACCCTCAACCCACCCTCATGCTAACACTCACTCCCGAATCCCACCCCATCAGCTCACCTCTAGTTCCGCTATCAGGGACCAGGAACTGATGAAATTCTCAGACAGGAGCTGAGTGACGGGCGGGCTCTCCAAGGTCGTTTCCCTGAGAGTCCGCCCCGAACCTCAGCAGCTCTGGTCGTCCAGCGCACCCCACAACAGTATAGAGTGCACTAGCTTTTTCTCTGTCTTTGCTCTTTTGAAAGCTTCTGTAAAGTTGTAATATGGAACCTGAAATCAAAGAAATCAGAAATTAATCACATTGAAAAAATGCCAATATAATGTGCACGTAAACAACTGAATGAAGTACCGTATATGACCGCGTATAAGCCGAATTCTGAGGACCAGAAAAAAGATTCTGTAGAAAGGGGTCGGCTTATCCACGGGATACATTTTCATGACAGTATTTTTCAGATCGTGATCTGTCAGAAACATCGGCTGAATGACGGTCCGATAGATTACAACTTCCCGAAAGTTTGGAAGTTGCCACGACTAGAGCCATTATTCTTATAAATTATCAATAAAGTTATTATTATACACCAATGTTGTCATTATTAAAAAAATGTTATGCATGTTACTCCTTCCGATAATAAGTTTTCAATTGAATGTTCAAAGTTTATCGTTCTTCATAAACTCCACAATCTTTACATGTAACAATATATGTAATTCACAGCTATAATATATAATCCCCAGATAAAATCGCCAATAGCTATTACGTACGTTTTGCAAAGTTCATAAATTGATAGTGAACAAGTGTCTACCTTTATTGAAAGAGGCAAATAAACAACTGTATGGGCAAGTTATTCCGTTCACCATTTGCAAAAACATGTGATCAGCTGTTTCCTGTGACGTCACGAACGGTGACCACTGTGATTGCTTCCTGTTGTTTAAAGCAACACGGTACACAAGGAAATGAGCATTGATAATAACGGGCCGATTGGTATTGTCATGTTGTTTACACAAACATTTTCAAGTTGTGGGCGCTTAGCGATCGTGTTGGGAGTAGGGGCTTAATTCCTTTGTTTTCGAGAGATTAGTTTAATAAACTGGAGAAGCCTGTGAGTATGTGATGGTCATTCAATGTGTTCATAGTATAGTTTATTTAATTCAATTGGATTAACATACAATAGTGGTGTAAAGGGGGTTATAAAAGTTGGTATATTTTTACTGACTGACATTTTCATCATGAGTTTTAAACGAAAACGCCATGCTAACGATGCTGAATTCAAACTGCGAGTCTTCGCTCCAGCTGATATATTTTCTCACGGGTTCATAATAAATTATACAACTTGAGAGGAGAAATCACTAAGGTCAGGCTGACTTCCAAAACAAGAAAACAGCATAATCACTATCACCCACACACCCCACACCCCCCAGGGGGCACATTAGAATTTTGTTTGTGCATATAATAGTGAATATAAACTATAATAAAAAAAGTCCTATAAAACCTTAAGTGGACATAGGTACTAGGGTCGCTTTATGTCATGCAAAAAAAAGTCTCGAACTCAGTCTTGATAAGTATCTCTTAGATAAGCTTACTTCAGTATTTTCCCCATTGCAGACACTATGCCCTTTGTAAAAAAGCATGGATCAAGGGCTAAGGAAGCACCTCGGGACAAAAATAATTTAAGAATACAGTCTTGACAAGTATCTCTAAGATGTGCAAAGTTTCATTCATGAAACGTCAATAGTTTCCGAGAAAACTTGTCCCCATTGCACACACTAACCACAGCGTTGAAAAGCATAGAGCAAGGCCTATAACTCTGTAAAAGAATAATTTACAGCACCAAAATGGAAGGATGGACAGCAGACAGACGGACTCCATTCCTATATATCCCCCTACCCACCTTGTAGCGGGGCATAAAATGGGTTACAAACATGACGCAACAAAAGAAAAATGTTAATTTAGATAATGTTACAAACCTTTTTAAAAGGGTACAATGTGACTTCAAGCACTCTTTGAGCGTCTTCAAGTGAGATTTCGGACATCCACTCCACACTGGACACAAGTTGGGGCAGGTTGGGGTTCTCCTCCCTCATAGTGTCGTTCAGCAGCATGTTGGAGTGGCGCACCTTCTCAGACGGCGCAGTGTTGTTCAACTTCATCAGCGGCATGAAGCCGATGTCCACCTCCATGTTCTCGTTCTCCTTGGGACCATTTAGCCACTCCATGTCTGCAAGCATACAGATATAACGTACATGTAAAATTGAACTACATGGTAGGGTTTGGATCCATGGTAGGACTAGGATCTATGGTAGGACAGATCTATAGTAGGACACAGATCAATGGTATCAGATTCATGGTAGGACACAGATCCATGGTAGGAATCAGATCCATGGTAGGACTCATATCTTTGGTAGGACACAGATCCATGGTAGGACTCGGATCCATGGTAGGACTAGGATCCATGGTAGGACTCATATCTTTGGTAGGACACAGATCCATGGTAGGACTCGGATACAGAGTAGGACTCATATCCATGGTATCAGATCCATAGTAGGACACAGATCCATGGTAGGACACAGATCCATGGTAGGACTAGGATCCATGGTAGGACTAGGATCCATGGTAGGACTCGGATCCATGGTAGGATTCAGATCCATGGTAGGACTCAGATCCAAGGTAAGACTAGGATCCATGTAGGACTAGCATCCATGGTAGGACCAGAATCCATGGTAGGACTCGGATCTATGGTAGGACTCGGATCCATGGTAGGACTTGGATCCATGGTAGGACTCAGATCCAAGGTAAGACTAGGATCCATGTAGGACTAGCATCCATGGTAGGACCAGAATCCATGGTAGGACTCGGATCTATGGTAGGACTCGGATCCATGGTAGGACTCGGATCCATGGTAGGACTCGGATCCATGGTAGGACTCAGATCCATTGTAGGACTCGGATCCATAGTAGGACTCGGAACCAAGGTAGGACTCGGATCCAAGGTAAGACTCGGATCGATGGTAGGATTCAGATCCACAGTAGGACTCGGATCTACGGTAGGACTCCGATCCAAGGTAAGTCTCGGATGATGGTAGGACTCGGCTTGGAGCTATGGTAGGACTAGGATCCATGGTAGGACTCAGATCTAAGGTAGGACTTAGATCCAAGGTAAGACTCGGATCCATGTAGGATTTGGATCCATGGTAGGACTCAGATCTAAGGTAGGACTCGGATCCATGGTAGGACTCAGATCTAAGGTAGGACTCGGATCCATGGTAGGACTCAGATCTAAGGTAGGACTCAGATCTAAGGTAGGACTCAGATCTAAGGTAGGACTCATAACCAAGGGAGGACTCAGATCCAAGGTAAAACTGGGATCGATGGTAGGATTCGGATCCATGGTAGGACTAGGATCCATGGTAGGACTCGGGTCCATGGTAGGACTAGGATCCATGGTAGGACTCGGGTCCATGGTAGGACTCAGCTTTGTTGTACAAGGGTCAAATGTTGTGCTACTGCTTTAATATAACTGACTTCAGCAAAAGACATGCACTCTCCATCACACTGGAGTAGGCTGACTTACCAACATTAAGTTTCTTGTCGGTGGGCACATCCAGGTTGAAGGAGAGGATATGTGAGCTGTCACGCGCCATGATGATGTTCCCCATGAACTGAGCTGGCGTATACCAGTAGGGATGATATGGAGGCTCGTTCAGCTGGAACTCTGCGTGAATTCTGAAATGTTTGGACATCTATTGGTGCATAGTTTTACAGAAGAAATGAATTTGAAGCATTTTCAGCCAGAATGGCGATAACCAAAAGTAGTGTAAACATATACACCATAAAGAGCCTGAGCTTCTACAAGTCCTCGGGATACCTTTAAACTACTCAGAGCAGTGGGCTCATGGCTTCTATCCCTGTGCGCATAAGGGTGTGTCAGTGTTACAATGCTTGATCAGTTATACAAATTGCGTCAACAGACAAGTATAGCACACAAGTATAGTGCACGTAGCTTACACAGGTGTGAAGTGTTGTGATACTTAATAAGTTATACAAATTGCATCAACAGACAAGTATAGCGCACAAGTATAGCGCACAGAGCATACATCAGTGTGAAGTGTTGTAATACTTGATAAGCGATACATACTGCATCAACAGACAAGTATAGCGCACAAGTATAGTGCACAAGTATAGCGCACAGCGCATGCATCAGTGTGAAGTGTTGTGATACTTGATAAGCGATACATACTGCATCAACAGACAAGTATAGTGCACAAGTATAGCCAAAGAGCATACATCAGTGCGAAGTGTTGCTATCTAAGTGCAATTTTATTATTGTTATTATTGAGTCATTAATGCAATACATCCACAATGCATGCCAAAACATGGGATAATTCAAAATAATACAATTCAAATGCTTATCTGTCTTTCTACCTGTTTCGTCTTATTCACTAACATGTGTTTGTCTTCAACTAATGGCACTGCCATACCTGGAGCGGGACAAATCCACGTATTTTTTAATTTGTATTTTTATCATCTAAAACTAGTCCATATGTTATATCCCCGTTTCAAGATTTTGCAAAGAATATTAACCAATATTTTCTTCATAAACAACATGAAACCAAAAGAAAACAATATCTCCCCAAAATGATTATACGCAATCTTTATCATGTTTATAGTTTCTCAGTGTATATATTTACCTGAACTGTATGTCAAAATACTTGTCGTTCATGGCCTTGACACACGCCACGCTGCCAGTCGGGGCGAAGCGAGATATGATAAATGGTCGGGAATGGAACATGGTGAGGAGCCTGTGAATCATAACATTAGAGTCCGCCACCTTGGGTGGATAGTAGCGGTTGCTGGACAGACTCGACCCTATGATGGAGCCAAACAGTGATGACTGGGTGTTCACGATGTAGTACACGTCTCCGAGGGCCACGGTCTCTGTGTTTGGGGGCAGGAACACAGAGAAATGTCGGGCACCAAAGTTCATCCATTCAATGGCGGGCTTATGCCAATTCTTCAAGCCAGCGAATGCATCTAGTCCACCAAACTGGAACATGGAAATATATTTCTAAGGCTGTTACTTTACAAAAACATTTCACTGATTAATATATAACTGTATCTTGTCAAATGAGTGAGTGAGTGAGTTTGGTTTTACGCCGCTTTTAGCAATATTCCAGCAATATCACGGCGGGGGACACCAGAAACTGGCTTCACACATTGTACCCATGTCGGGATTCGAACCCGGGTCTTCAGCGTGACGAGCGGACCGCCCCGTATCTTGTCAAAGAATATAACAGAATGATTACCCTGATCACATATTCTGTTTGTATTTTACACATTTTGTTTCACTGGGGCATGCGACCCGTGAAGATCTGGGGTACAATAGGTCTTCAGCAACCCATGCTTGCGGTAAAAGGCGACTATGCATGTCGTAAGAGGCGACTAACGGGATCGGGTGGTCATGCTCGCTGACTTGGTTGATGCATGTCATCGATCCCAATTGCGTGGATCGATGCTCGGGATATCAATCACTGGATTGTCTGGTCCAGACTCGATTATTTACAGACTGCTGTCATATAGCTGAGTGCGGCGTAACACAACAAACAAACAAACACTTGGGCTAGCTCTTCTGTTCTTGAATAAGGTCATTTGCATGTTGTATGTCTCCATTGTTTTGCATGTTGGTACACATTGTTTTACAGAGGATGTTAGAATACTAGCCTTTTCTCCACGTAGGAATTTGAATAATCATACCCCTCATCCTCGAATATCCAGGGTATAGTATGACAATATTATTGTGGGATCTATATAATCGCGGTATCAGTAAATCTTGTACTCAACACCCCCTGTTGACTGTTTACTTAGGCAAATCTAAGCACGATATTTCATCGCTTGATCGAATACAGGACTCGTTGCGGTATGTCACGGCTACTCGAAAGTATACACGTTAACTTTTTTTATGATGGTTTCTGGAATGTTTTTGAGGTGGAATTACCCCTACCTCCTTTCAGAATTGGTTAGAAAAGAATCCACTTGTTTGGACAATGTCCCTTTACCTAACCTAGGTCGTATGAATCCTGATAATGCATAATCCAAAACAGGAAGTGATGTAAACCACATAATCCACATGCTTCACACAACAAAATAGTGATGCCACAATAATATAGAGTTGCCCGCCCTTGAGTCGCTAATGACAGGTTTGTTAACCGAACTTGGTAAAGAAAATCAGTATCGATCAATTCTAACTGATGCGTCATAAAGGTTGAATAAATAATAAGAAACATTTTGCATATGACATATGTAATATGTTAGTAAGCATTCGCAATTATGATCCATTATAACTTAACTACCACGATAATATAGCATACCATGCTACTATATCTCAAATCTACTTAAATAAACACACATTTTGGAAGTGACATCACTATCTCCATCTTGCTTATCACTAATTTAGCAAAGAATTTCTCTTGCTTATGAGTGCCAACATGTCATTTAATTATATATTAATAATATCAAATCCTATGTGATTTGTCTCTGGAACGCATGAAATGGTGTTTTACATCCTGTGGAATAATATATCCCTAAGAACTAGTAATGTGATATGCTTATAGGATCCTCAATGAAAAATAACAAACTATAATTATCTATAAATAAATCCATTTATGATACCACAGAGACTTTCTTAAATATTATTGCAACACTTTCTATCATTATATCTTTATTGACAACATATGAAATATTTGTATGTATGTATTATGTATACATCATTATGTCCTCCAATCACTGACACCATACACAATTTTGCCATCACCATGGTTACCTGCTCATTGAAGTCTTTGGTCATTGACTCCTGTCTGAGAGGGTCAAAGTAGGCCTTGATGGTGACAACTTCATCATCCTCCTCGATAGGAACATCATACACCATGCCTGTCACCTGCACAAAAACATACATACATCAAGTTTCAGATTTACAATGATTAACTGTACAACGCTTTAGTCTGGACCCTAAGTAAAACAAGCGTGAAATGTTCATATCCCCTACCAATGGTATATTCCATTGGCCGCCTGGGACTCTCAAGAGTCACTGAATAAAAAACTGATTAATATGGTGCAAGTCTTAAAGAGTACCTGTTCCTGTAGTGACATTCTTCCTTTAAACTTTGTACTATTTTCTCAAGGGGAATTATTCCCATGGAACAGTTTGTACAAAGAAATCTCTTCAACAACTGGGATTTCGTTGCGCCACATTTCTTTTAGTGTTTTAGGTTCGGTATACATTTCCTGGTCAAAATATTCCCTAATCCTATCAGGCGACATTTTTTTTAATTCATTTCAAAAGTGAGGTAGAAAAAAGAGAAAAAAAACCTCTCGGATTTAGTTTACTTGACTTTTGTTCTAAAAAGGTAGAGAGGTATAAAAAATATTCTGGAGTAACAAAAGTTAACTAAATTTTTCAAGATATATTATATCCCTGGCACACAGCTTGTGCACAAATGGCAATATAACAATATTCATGTCATGGTGAAATGCATGAAAGACATTTTGGCAGCATGCCGATTAAACTTGTCACCACTGCACTTCGTGTTGACACGCTTTGATGGTATTAGAGAAGGATCCAAGCAAGATATATCAGAGTGACTTCCCTTTGTTTACACTCGACAAGGAAACGAAATCTTTTTTTGTTGGAACCTTTTATAGATTTTTTAATGTAAAGATCGCCGTAAATAGTAATTTTTATTTTTATTTTTTGCAATATTTGGACTCTGAAAGAGTGGTGCATCCGTAAACCAAGAAATAAAAAAATAGCCGCGTACCCCTAAATCTAACCCTAACCCTAATCCTTACTCTAACTCTTACCCTGGCCCTGACCTTGTAATCATCTGGGCCTTAAATATGCTTGTTGATTTCGACTCACTGAAAATTTGTGCCACGGGCATGTTCTCAATTTCACTGGGTGAGATATATTGTCACTGGCAATCGTTCATCATGCAGTGTTGATTTGTAGGAAGGTCACCAAGACCAGGGGTATATACCATTGGTCGTGTCTATCTTGTATGCACTTCATCTGGGACCAGTGTTTGCATATTATTATTGTGATAAAATAACAAGGTGCTCCTTGTCACTGTGTCTAATCCTGCCCTAAACATGTCAACAAGCTTAACATTCCATTTGCTTCAAACAGCTATCAAGCCTATCTCAATATCTGCAATCTTCATATGGTTATGTATACCCCATTAGTGTAACTGACCTACTACTTCAAGTCTGCACTAAAGTTTGCAATCATGAAATTTGGAAATGAAGGCCAGATCATATTGTTCTTATATTACCAGTAAACCGTTCACAAATTTATTTGTAAAATACACATTCTGTGTTTGAATAATATGCAATTGAATAAACATACTTATTTCAACAAGACCTTATTTCAAAACCGGTTTGCGAAAAAATAAAACAAGAATGACATGGCTTGCCGTTCCAAAAACATGAACACAGATATCCTCAATCCTTGTGTAATATTTTAATGTGTATATTTTCTTCGTTTGAACAACATTTATAACCACTCTGTATCCTGCATCACCTTGGGGAAAATCTATATAACGTTAATTAAAACTGAAAAAAAACAATTATCCACCTGTTTCCTGTCCATCAAAAGAATAAAATCAAAATAAAACAGAGCAAGTCTCTTTCAGGCATGGACTAACTCAGTGCTCAACATTGTGATTGTGTGTGTGAAAACAGATGATGTCTACTGGAGCAGGACTACACCGTCTTGTCAAGACACTCGCCTCTCTCTGTACAGCTGTATCTCTTATCAACAGGGCATCAGACCCTGGGGCCCCTCCAGATGTCACTGACTGGCTCCAACTAATAACATTGGCCCCAAAGGTCAGAGACAAACTAAATCTGTCTTAAGCTTCAGTTTATGTATGGCTCTCTCCTATAAACTGTGCATTGAACATAATTGATTAAAATGTCATGTTGCTAAAAGTAATGGATTGAAACCGAGTTCTAAACCCTGTAATGTGCACTACAACACACTTCAATACAACTGGTTTGACAAAAGGAAGTGTCAGCTCATGTTAAATAGTTAGAAATACATGCAGATCCATGTGTGAGGGGTGCAGAGGTGCACATACACCATTTTTGAACATACAAAAGATCCATAAATTCAGCAAGTTTAGAAGTTTATATATAAAGGTACCCCTCATCCTCGATTATCCAGGGTGTGACAATATTATCGCGGGATCTATATTATTGCGGGATCAGTAAATCTTGTAAAGCACATCCCCTGTCGACTGTTTACTTATTCAAATCGACCCGTGAAGATCCGGTGTAGAATAGGTCTTCAGCAACCCATGCTTGCTGTAAAAGGCGACTATGCTTGTCGTAAGAGGCAACTAACGGGATCGGGTGGTCAGGCTTGCTGACTTGGTTGATGCCTGTCATCAATCCCAATTGCATGGATCCATGCTCATGATGTTAATCAGTGGATTGTCTGGTCCAGACTCAAATCCTATATTCGATTCGACTGTTGTCAAAAGCTGTAATATTGCTCAGTGCAGCGTTAAACAACAAACAAACAAACAAACAAACAAACAAACATCATTCACATATACAAGGAGTGTTGAAACCATTTTACTGACATACATGCTGGTGAATTGACATGTACAAAAGCTGTACCTGAAATAAACGCTCACTGAAAAAATGACAAATGCACAAAGACAGTATGATAAATGAAAAGAGGAGGGGCGACAAACTGGGTGGGGGATGTAAGGTGGGAAAGCAATCAGATACGTGTGTACCGTTGATTGCGGCTTCAAGCATCGTTTACAAGACAATACACAGAGTAATCTGAATCTCTGCAAATAAAACAATGCCTAGCAGAACAGGAAATACAATTTACATGGTAAATCATGTCAATTCTGCTTATGATATTCAAATCCGCCCCCCCCCCAAAAAAAAAATTAATAATAATAAATAAACAAAATATTGAATACCCTAAAACAATGAAAAAAGTATTATTTATTGTTTATTGACCAGTTCACACGAAAGTAGCTATGCTGTGGTGCCCATCTAAAATAAAATACAAGATTCTATCCTTAACTTCCATTCAGTACTCTGAGTGGACTCTTTAGTTTTTGCAAGTACTCCTGTATTAAAATAATAATGAGTATGTACTCCTGATGCTGAAAAGTTATCTGGAGCCCTGACAGATACGCTGATCCTAAAAGACAACTTTGACCTACATGTTTGTTTCAATTATATGTATGAGTGAGTGAGTTGGGTTTAACGCCGCTTTTAACAGTATTCCAGTTATATCACGGCGTGTCAGCTTAATGTGGGAGGAAAGCCCGAAGTGATGCAGGTCTCAGACGTTTACCACTTCGGTGAAACCCACGAGCACGGGTATGGTGCTGACAAACCAAGAAACATAATCTGGGCAAGCCGGGATTTAAACCCACAATCATAGGTTTCTGGCGTGTCCAAGGGACGCAACTCTGCACAGCGAATCGCGGCACCTTAGACGACTGGACCACCCGTGACCCCCATATGTTTGAAGATGATGAAGAAAATTTCAAATTCTCTGAGGAATTGTGCTTAACGTTATCTCTTTCTGATCTGTTGCCAAAAAGGAAAAAAAGTTCACCTCAGTAATAAGCACAAAAGTATAAACTTACAGAATCCAAACACTTGTTGCATTACATAATTAGCTGAATTTTGAAAAAAAATGGTCATAAAGAGAAGAAGAACGTTAATTATGTGGAACATTGCTGACAGAGTGGCATGTTGCTAGAAGTGCAGCCTGCAGTCTCCGCATGCCTACTTGAGCCCCTATCCCCGGTACTGCACTTACGATTCTTTGTTTGTTGTTTAATGCCACACAAAGCAATATGCCAGCTATATAACAGTGGCTTGTAATAATTTAGTCTGCACCAGACAATCCAGTGATTGATATTATGAGCAACGATGTACACCTTCAGGGCAAGATGACATGCATCAACCAAGTCAACGAGTCTGACCATCTGCCTCTAATGACAAAGAGGTTGCTGGGGATCTGTTCTAACCTGGAATCTCCATGGTGGGACTGCACTGATGACCTGCACAGGTAGTATTATGTAAAAAAATTAAATAATCAGAAAAATGTGAAGCAACAAGGCTCTACACCACCTTTTATCATGCAAAAATACCATTTTCAAAATGGCACCAAAAGCAGCCATTTTTCAAATAGCATCTAATTTTCCTCACAATGCAGACCTCACCCATTGAAGTTTTAGCAAAAGCATGGTATTATATGTAAAAACATAAATCGTCCTCGAAAACTCTTAACACAAATAATCATGCCTCATAGAGCATAGGATGTCTTGTCACAATGGTAGCCATATGCCATTTTGTTTTTTACAAAAATATATTTTGGCTCATAGTCTCCATGAAAAAATATACATCTGTAGCTGAAAACATATTGGTCTCATCACAAAATCCCAGTCACACCCCTCCTCCCTGTCCAGAATATCAAATGGTCGGTCGCTCAGTACAGAGTGTCAATAAGAAGGAAATCATATATTGTACTTGCAGAGACAACTGAGTAAAGAGCCATTTTTTTTAAAATGACACTTTCAATATGGCTGCCACTGGTCATTATGTAGCCATATGTACTTTTGGATCTGAATTCTGTAAAACATTATTAATTACACTTAATTTCAGCATAATTAAACAAGTGTTTAGACTAAGCTGTAAAAACCTATTCATCTTAACGAGATACATGAAGATCAATGGTTAAAGGCAGCAATAGTAATTGGCACTGGTCCTGTAGTCTTTGCCAAACTGCCCAATAGATAAGGTATCATAAGGAAGAGCAGAAATTTGCCATTTTTTAGGGTTTTGCTACATGTTATCACAATAAGGACTAGTGGACTCAAAATGTTAGTTTCTACTGCTGGGCCAAAGGAGAACCAACAGTCAGAATACTAACCCACAAGTTTCTGAAAGACAACTAGTCCTTATTGATTTTCACTAGTATCAGGACCAATGGACTAGTCACCATATCTAACCCTTAACATACGTTTTACATACCACATACATGACAAACTACCTGGATATCAAATTACACATAAACGATGAGCATTTGGCCCAAATTACATTTTCAATATGGCTGCCAAACGGCAGTTATTGTTATTATCTGCTCTCATGAATAACAACGATATCCAGTTCTTACATTAAGTCAGTAATGGAAAATAATGATACCTTCATGAAATGCGCATTATGATCTATTGCACTTTATGTCAAAATAAGGCATCTTTTTTCAAGAACAATCAATCCTCGGCACGCCAGTCTGTAAAATTACCAAGCACATGCATATCAGCTATGAAAAACCAATAAAGGACAATGGAAATCATGACAGGTCTCCAAGTGTAAATATTGTCTTAGTTTCCATCATCTGTCCTGCAAATAGAATTGGCCTGTAATCACAACAACACACATCGATGATGGTCAGGTTAATCCTGTTCTTGAGCTGTCTTGGCAGGTGAAGATTGGTACCTGTATGCACCTGGCAGCACCACAGATATTGAAATTTAAGCCCTTCAATAAACTAGCCACGATCATGAAACAAAAATAGACATAGTTCTCACTGAATCACTATACATCTGCCATAACCATTTCCGGCTCTCAATGAATGGAAAATGCCATGCAGTGTCTTGGAAAACAATCTCGGTTTTTAATATTCTTCACGGAATTACTTGGCTTAATCATTGATTAGAAGTGCAACCTCCCTTACGCGTTTAATGTGTTCCCAATTCCTCATTAAGTTAGCTGCTTTCATCAATTTCATTCCACAACACACTTAGCAGGCTGATATTCATGTGGTATTAGACACCTGCATATTCTTGTCTTCATTTTTCATCTAACACTTGCTTCTAATGTGGCTTCAGAAACACTAATGTGAACAAATATCCATAACATATTGAATACACATCTCATTTAAAAGGCACATTGGTTTGAAAAGGTATTTACTGGCTTAAAACTATTTAAATGGACTTCATGTATCAAATTAGAATTGTCTCAGCCAATTAATGTTTTGGGGTTAAAAACTAAAGAATGGTTTAAATTGTTTGATAGGCATTACTTAGAAGCTGACGGATGACAAGATAGACACAATTTTATGGATAACGACTTCTTTAATACTGTGAAAAGCGACGTTTCTGTATAGATCCTTATACCTTATACCAGTCTTGCTTGACAACAGTATAAGGATCTGTACCGAAACGTTGCTTTTCACAGTATTAAAGAAGTTGTTATCAATAAAATTGTGTCTATCTTGTCTAAAGAATGGTGTTTTCATATGGCAAATGTTACCATCTTATTAAGCGACCAGCAAATAAAGGTCTGCCAGCAATGTTAGTGTCTGTATCATGTGTGTCCTGAGACGAGACCAGCGCCACAACTACCCAGGGGGGACCTCTTTCTGTATACTTAATTACATACACAAGAGTAACCGTGATCATAATTTCTGAATCAATAATGACTTAAAGTAAAAGAGATAGTGTAATACTTTGTATTTACAAGGTGCTGTGATTTGGCAATTACATTAGAATTCAAAGGCCATTAAGACAAACAAAACTCCGATCTTGGACCGTGAGAGAAAACGTAAACTGAAAATAGCTAGCTACCATGTGTATGTACATGCTGAGCATTTACCAAGCAACCAGCAAATGTGATCGGTTTATCTGCCCCCCTATCCCCTGGGTAAACAGGGCTTATATTGGGTACTGTACTGACCCGGTCAGACCGATCTCAACAGCGCTATGACGGTCACCAGCACTGGCATGAGACTCCTCCAAGACCTTGAAGACAAGACTTATGTTCTATCAGCAAAAATGGTTCATGGTTGGTAAAATCAAGGACTTTTATATTTGAATACTTTTAAGAAATAGCCCAATTTACTTTTTCATTGCAATATCTCTATGCTTTAGTTACGAACAGACATCCCATTGTGGTTCTTGTAGTACAGTGTGAGTGAGTGAGTTGGGGTTTAACGCTGCTTTTAACATCATTCCAGTTATATCACGGCATGTCAGCTTAATGTGGGAGGAAAGCCCAAAGTGATGCAGGTCTCAGATGTTTACCACTTCAGTGAAACCCACGAGCACGGGTATGGGGCTGACAAACCTAGAAACATAATCGGGGCGAACCAGGATTCGAGCCCACAATCATAGGTTTCTGGTGTGCCCAGGGGATGCAACTCTGCATAGCGAATCGCAGCGCCTTACACGACTGGGCCACCCGTGCCCCCTTGTAGTACAGATGAGTCAAGGCAAAATATATTAAAAGATTTCAAACATATGTGTTTGATGGAAAATATGTTATTCTGTGTATTCTTTATTAACCTCATATCAATCCTGATGACATGTTTTTTTAATTTGCCTCTTGACTGAATTCATTTTTCTTTAATGAGAAGTATTATCATACCCCCATGTCCAAATGATGAGACCTGATTGGTCCACATGATCTTGATAAAATACTGTGTATCCAACCTTGGAAGGGAATAAATTTCCCAGCGGAGGAATAAATCTCTTATACCCCGCCATGAGGAAGTCGGGCTGCACATGGATTTCTGAGAGGCAGAATAAATCCCTTATACCCCTCTTCAAAGCCAAAAGGTGGCTAACTTTTCCCCCGAGTCAATGGAAGTTACATGACATAGCACAAGCTAACCTCAGCTCAATCGAACAGCTGTTTTCTATCAATTTTGAATTTTTAAAAATTATTTAACAATGTCATATTATAACATGTCGGTAAGATAAATTTGTTGTAGCAGGATCACGAGGGGTACATTCGTTAGGTTTCATACAACTCACCCCCGGCTCACGGTATAAAACCTAACACAGGATGCATAAAACCCCATGTCCCCCATGTGATCTTGCTACAACTTATATGAATGCATGGGCTAAAGGATCACCTTTGGTGACATCTTCTAAGGTGTAACATTAGAGCCATTTTTATCAAATATATTATGAAGAGAAACTAGACATATGCTTACTTAATCAAGGATTGGTGAATTGGAAATCATGCATTATATAGGGAGAAGAACCAGCATTGATAACACACTTCGGTTTTGTCCATTATGTTACATGTGATTGAAAATGAAATTAATGTTGTATCGATATGGCCTGCATTTGTTCCATGTCTATACTTGTGTTAACTGTAACTTTAACATTTTCACTCTTTATATTAAAATTGGGATATTTAGTCATTTCCAATTGTAAACAGTTTGTTACTTAGGATTGCAAAACATTTTGTCATCGTCAATCTTTAATTTGAACTTATTTTAGTTTTCCTTTGTCATGAGGACTGTACATTTTAAAAAGTTTAGAAAATTACATATCTAAACCAAAATATCAGGATTTTAGTATTTGTATTTCAAAATTTGAATTTTAGAATACATACTTAGGAATCTTTACAAATTGAAACTATGTACATCCATTTGCTTCCAGGGTACCACAGTGAGGTGGTACGTTGCTACAAGCGGACATACAATGTATGGTAGCTTTAGATATAATATCCAATGCCAACATGCAGTGAAGCGGAACGGTTACAAAGGAGGCGAAAACCTGAGACGATGTCCACCTGACTTCAGTAAAAGTTGACCGATCATGTTCCATTTCAATATTACATGAAAATAGTGTACATCACGAGAAAAAATGCTCCTATAATAAACTTTGAAAACATTTTATTCTTCATTCGATAGGGCTTTAATATGTTCATCTCTCCGACAGATTATTCTGTAAAGTGTTCCTAATCTGAAGAGCTGGCATGTAAACAACTATTTAGGAACACTGTACAGAATGTTCATTGACAGAGGAACATATTTTTCCTGTCAAGAGGGACAATATTAAGAATATCCCGGTTGAGTGGGGCGTAAGGTAGTATGGGTCAGTAATGTGATATATAGAGTGGTTAAAACCAAAGAAAACAGTTTAGAGGTCTAAGTGCACTTGATATGCTAGGTCGCTGTGCAGAGTTGCGTCCCTTGGGCACGCCAGAAACCTCTGATTGTGGGTTCGAATCCCAGTTCGCCCTGATTATGTTTCTAGGTTTGTCAGCACCATACCCATGCTCGTGGGTTTCATCGAAGTGGTAAACGTCTGTAACCTGCATCACTTCGGGCTTTCCTCCCACATTAAGCTGACACGCCATGATATAACTGCAATACTGTTAAAAGCGGTGTCAAACCCAACTCACTCACTCACTCACTCACTGATATGCTAGGCTATTATCATGATTATTAAGAAATGATTCAAGTTCAGCAGACATAATTAACAGGTTCACCATCAAATACACATATAGTCAGGGGTTCGCATGAAATTGAATTGCCTGTCCTCAAAAAGTTTGAGAAGATATTTGACACCCACTTGGCAACTACAGGCAATGAACTTCTGCCAATGATGATGACTCAGTCACAACACAATTCTAATTTAAATTTTTTTAAAATAGAAAAACACATAAACCATGACAGAGAATCTCCTAAAAGAGGCAGTACAAAATTGAGTCATGACATATAGAACTTTTTAATGTAGGTAGTAGCATCAACAAATTATAAACAAACCAATACACCTCCAAAGTTTCTCCTTAATCCCTCCAACCACGTTGTCTATCACCTAATAAAGGGATGCCAGGCGAAGAAGTGAAACTCACTGCGCCATGACGAAAGAAGCAACCATCTCACTTGGTATATTTTCCAAGGACGCCATCTCATGCTTCGGTGCCAAAGACTTGTAAACAACTCAGGAACACCCACAGCGTTCTGTTATTAACATTCTTTCATTAACGTGTAGCAAAGCTTATATTTACAATCTTAATACAGGGATTTAGCTATATATAACATGCATCAGTGCAACCTATTACTGATAAACACAACCTAATATTTATGCCAACATGCACCAAGTGCATGTCAAATGATTTAAAATTTGTGTCTTTACTAACCCCTAATTGGCCACACAGCATTGATTCTTGAACACTCTCCATACCTCTAAGCTCTATTCACCATACTGCATCACAAATCCCTGTATTGTGTGTAAATTGTCATGCTTTCTTGGGCTTGATGTCATCAAACTGTGGGTACTTCAAGATTATGTACATTACTGTAGCTTCATCTATCACTGAAGTTGACCACTGAATCATGTTAAGATTATCCAAGTATGCATTATATCAAGGTTGCCACTGATGACATTGTCACTTAAGTACTGTACTGGTTGGTTGGTTGGTTTGTTGTTTAAAGCCGCACTCAGCAATATTCCAGCTTTATGACGGCGGTCTGTAAATAATCGAGTCTGGACCAGACAATCCAGTGATTGATATCATGAGCATCGATCCACGCAATTGGGATCGATGGCATGTATCAACCAAGTCAGCAAGCCTGACCACCCGATCCCATTAGTCACCTTTTACGACAAGCATAGTCGCCTTTTACAGCAAGCATGGGTTGCTGAAGACCTATTCTACCCCGGATCTTCACGGGTCAAGTACTGTACTGCAAAAATCAAAGATCTCAGATATTATTTATTTCCATAAATATATGGGACAAGTTGCAACCTGGTTTTGTCTGATGCAGCTAGGTTTTCATGTCAACATGCACCTGGTGCAAGTTAAATCAAGTTCCATAAATCGTACCCTGTAATACTTCTTAAAGGGGCATTTAGAAACTGTAGTATCAGTGAAGATGGGGTTGACACTGTTTCCATTATTAATATTCTTTCAATGCATTGATATATGAGGAGGCTGATAGTCCTTTCGTTAATCTTATTACTGTAGTAAGCATGGTAAGCTTGATAGGAATTGACCAGGAGGAGGCTACAAAATCTACTGCGGCACCTGCTTCTCGTTTCTTCGCAAATTAATTGAAAAAAGGAACCGATAAACATGTTCAACATGTTCAACCTGAGCATTATATTCAGGGAATCCACATCAAACAAATATCTGATCGTCAACAAGTCCATAATTATAAACAACTGTCTCTATCCAGAGAACAAGCAAGGTAAAGGTCAAGTGACATCAACAACTTGTGCCAGCTGTTAGAAGTAATTGTTCCATGACACTGTTGCCAACACTCCCCTGAAGACCACAAAAACCACTTCCTTGTGTGCAGCTAGTCATGACAGAAATAGCTACACTGGCAAGTGGTTGTTTCCCAAGTCAAGCTAATCCAGGCTCACGGTTTCAAAATACCCAGTTGCTTCAAGAACGTAAAAAAGCACTTGTTTGTTATGTTAGAAATAAGCTTCAATATTTTACGTAAGAAAAACTCATCGTGAGAGAGATCTTGTTAGTTCTGTTTCTAGGGAGTCCAGAGTACACAAAGAACAGGAAATTGTTAGAAAGTTTTCTGCCTTTTTTGGCTAAATGCCTAAAGCAATTAAAACAGTAATGCTTAAATTACCAGCTGAACAAATTTTTGCTCGGCAAAAAGACAAGCTCTAAAATGTTATTTGGCCTTCTTCCCACTTGAGAATTCAAAGTGACATATTTCAAAAAGAAATTTTTTGAAAAATTATCCCCCACAGTAATATTTGATGCTATTTAATCCAAATCATTTAATGTGTTTAATCCAAAGTAGGACAATTTTGAAATCGGAAAACAGATGTATATATCTCTATGTTATCTAACACAAAGGTTATTCCTGTGTTAACATAACACTTTGACATGACATGCATCCATACGTCAAGATACAATTACTGACTTCCATGATCCTATTTCAGTAAAGTGTTACATTTTGGAATTGAAAATCAGTCATATGAGCCAGCCAATGACAGCTGTATGAATGTTACAGATATTAGAGTGACTAATGTTATGCCCAATGTAAACGGTAACTTCTGTTTATCATGGTTTACTATCGTAAGCATCGCTACTCGATATGCTCTATACTCAATTGTAAATAGCACTTATTCATTTTCAATTCATTTTGGTTTGATGAATATAATATATCAAAATACAAATTTTAACTTGGGCTTAAAAAAATAATAGTCTTGGTTCTCGGGCACTCGCATCATCCTATAGTTCACTGCACGTTTTGTTTTTATTTCCCTTTTTAAAATTTTTTTTATTAAAATTTAACTTGTATGAGTCAGTCTGAATATCATCATGATCATTTAACAAAAATATGTAAAAATGTGTTCAAAAATGTTTTTTTCAATCAGCATGTTTTATTAATATAATAAGAAGTTTTGCCAAACATGCCTAAATCTAAATACAGTAAGCTATGTTTAAGACGAACTCACTTATAACCAACTGGCAGAAACAACAAACTTGTTTTTATTTACCTGGACATTTGCAGTGTATATGCTGTACATATGCTTATAACAAACAGCGGTTATAACAAACTAAAATTAGTGGTCCCTTTGAGTTTGTTATAACCATAGTTTACTGTACTACATTTCTGCAAATAAAGGCATATTTTCTGAACATTTGTGCAAATAAAGGCATATTTTCTGAGTGAGTGAGTGAGTGAGTATGGTTTTACGCTGTTTTCAATAGCAATATTCCAGCAATATCACGGCGGGGGACACCAAAAATGGGCTTCACACATTGTACCCATGTCGGGAATCGAACCCGGGTCTTCGGCGTGACGTTCTAACGCTTCAACCACTAGGCTACCCGACCGCCCCCATATTTTCTGAACATTTGTGCAAGATTAATGGAAATTAGCTGTGTGTAAGAAACAACAGTGTCAGCGGGGGTCCATGCTACCTGGGAACACCCTCAGACATCATGGCTTGGTGGGAAAATTATTAAATTGTGTCCAGTAACAGCTTGTCTTTCATCAAAATCAGGTTCCCAGTGATTCACAATGTATTTCTGTGAAGTATTTTGGAGACTGACCATGTGTTTTGTATTTATTATATTGTGTATCTTATTTCCTTCATCAAAATCAGGTTCCCAGTGATTCATAATGTATTTCTGTGAAGTATTTTCGAGACGGACCATCTGTTTTCTGTATATTATTTCTAATCCTGAGACGCCTGCTGATATGGCAGAAAACAATCCAGTTCTCATACAGGAAATCCATTACATTCTGAGGGTGTTGATGAATTTAAACCTCCATGTCAGAATGATGAGACCTGATTGGTCCACGTGATCTTGATACATATCTAATCATACCTCCATGTCAGAGTGATAAGTGAGTGAGTTGGGTTTAACGCCGCTTTTAACAGTATTCCAGTTATATCACGCCGTGTCAGCTTAATGTGGGAAGAAAGCCCGAAGTGATGCAGGTCTCAGACGTTTACCACTTCGGTGAAACCCATGAGCATGGGTATGGTGCTGACAAACCTAGAAACATAATCGGGGCGAACTGGGATTCAAACCCACAATCATAGGTTTCTGGCGTGCCCAAGGGACGCAACTCTGCACAGCGAATCGTGGCGCCCTAGACGACTGGGGTCAGAATGATGAGATCTGATTGGTTGACATAATCTTGATAAAATATGTAACCAGCCTTGGGGGGAAATCAATTTCTCAGTGGGTGAATAAATCCTTTATACCCTGCCACAAGTAAGACCAGTTGCACATAGATTTCTGAGAGGCAGAATAAATCCCTTATACCCCGCTTTGAAACTTCGAGTCAATGAAAGCACAAGCTAAACCCTGCGTCAATGGAACAGATATTTTCTATCAATTTTGAATTTGTTTTAATTCTTTTGCAATGTCAAATGAAACATGTCGGTAAGACA